TCAGGGGGAGCCAGCGTGTTTTGCATCTAGCAGGAGATGAATAAATCTGTTTAGAAGGGTATTTTCTGAGTCAAATTATGCTCTGCTGCCTGTCTCAGCCGATGACGTGATGTGAGGCAGCCGAGGACAACAGTCTAAGTGGCTATGTGCCGTGTGCACAGGTATTATACGCGCGTCAGAGAGCCGAACTCCACGTCCTTAGTACACTCTCATAGTGTAAATAGGCGTCAGAATCAAGGCTTTTCTTTGAACCAGCAACTACGAACAGAAACTCACTTGTGACCCCGACACAGGGGACGAACGGTGAGGTGCAATAGTCTTCGTAAAAAATGGCAGGTTTGTCACTTGCAAACTCTACCGTTACTAATTACCTTTTCCAAATACCCCTCCTTATTTTCACCAACACCGCCAATACCAGTCTCATCATCGTTAATAGCAACTGCAACTTCAGCAGCAATAGGGCCAGGGGAAAATTTTCCTTTTTCTGCTAATCCTGCCTATTCTATTTCTCTTCATTCCATTTTACTACTTCTTCTCTTTTTCGTCATCGTCATCATCATCATCTTCTTCTTCTTCTTGTTCTACTGCTTCTTCTCGTTCCTATTTTTCCCCGTCATGTGCTCCTCATTACCATTTTCATGTCCTTGGTTTCTGCTCTAGCATCCTTCCCTCTTTGTCTTATAGACTTTGATTTTTAGTCCTTTTCGTTCCATTTTTCTCTCCTCATGGCTTATTCGTTTTCTGCATCTTCCCTTTTCTCCTTCTCTTTCTCCGCTCTCATTATCGACCTCACCGATACGTTTTAGGCGTTGCAATACTTAAAAGTGATTGTTTGTATAAAGGCGTATTTAGTTTTATTGAAATGACTGTTGCAACAGGAAGTATTTTATGTGCGATGTAAAAGTAGGCACATACTAGCTGATCTCACCTTATGAAAGCGGACTAATTGTTCATTTCGAAAGGACCGCTTTTACGACACCACTTACTGGCAGTAATCTATCGCACGACCCTACTAACCCGGCAAGTAACACAGTGGGTAGGTTAGCGTGCAGGCGGATGTATAGTACGATCTAATTGAGTGCTTTTTGAGAGCTCACTTGAACGATGTCGGTTGGCACATAAATTGCTTTTCATTACAAGCGCACTAACACCCTTTTCCATTCTTTAAACTGTCCTATCCATATTGTCAACGTTCTCGCATTCCACTGTTACTTATCGATTGTTTTCGTTAATAAGATTGTACAAGCATTCGTTGTCAGTTAGTTAAGTAGCGCAACTATTCATTGTCAATATTCATAGAAGTAGTATGTTGTTTCCCGTTAGTAGGGTTGCACAAGCAGTCCTTGTAATTTTTTCGTGCTCAATTAAATTTGCCATTTATTTTCAACATGTTTAGAATGCCAACTTTTATACTACTTAGCCACTTTGGTACCATTTATATGTTCAGCGGATATCAAGCTAACGAATATGCTATTGGTCCACCTGTGTTAAAGGGGCAAGCATTTGCTGTTTGTTATAATAATCTTTATAAACTATCCAGTTACCCTTTGGAAAAATGCCAATTTGCTAACTATTACCAACAAACTCTAGAGATACTACATGGCTAATTCCGTCTCATTAACTCTTATCAGTGAGAGATAACTGAAGACTACTGTTGAAAAGTCGATTTTACTAAATCAAAACACTCAAGCGCCAGTGGGGTTGAGATAAATAGTAAATGCTAACCCTACCCTTTCTAGTCTTGCTCAGTAAAGCTCGAGATCATTGATTTCCGGTCGCGCATTAAAACTTGCAACGAAACTTGTAGGCCTCTCTGTGCCACCTCATCAGGACAGATGGACGGAGGCCACCGCTCGGTCTTTCTCACTCCAAATGCAGCACGCAAAAGTACAAACGGTTTGTGCGCTGATGCCCCCGCTCTGTACTGAACACAGTTTATCCAACGGCTTTATTCCACCAGCTTTGAGTGGATATGCAGGATACAAAAGCAGGTCAAGGTTGGACTCGTCAGTTGACTTATTGACCAAATTCTGACCGGGTCAATTTAATAACAGGACTTATTACGGGTGTGAAGATGAGTCAGGGCTATCAGTGTCAGCATAATGGTGGCCTACGCATAAAACCTGTGATGCGTGATGCCAGCGGGATGAGGGTTATCCGGATGTAGGTGTGTGGAGGATGCTACCTCCGTCAGAGGGAATGGCGATGGAAGCAGAGGAAAAAATTTACTTCTCATAGAGCCGCAGAACACGCATTCTACGCTGGTGGGCCAACCTGGGGAAGGTAGGATCAGGGCACGATAGGGGTTATTGGAAGTGCGTAACAGAGACAAATGCGACCGATGGAGGAGGGGAGTGTTATGGCCAGTTCAAGTTTACGCTGCGCCAGCCAGCCAGCCAGCTAGCCACCTATGCCCGATCTCGCCTCCAGTCTTCTTGAATCTGTGGTAGATGCAGCACAAGCCTGGCGTCAGTAGAGCCTATTTCATGCGCAAGTCATTCTCTTTGTGCTTTACCTCTGAGGTTTCTGAGCAGTTGACTGTAAGAAAAAACAGTCAGACGGAGCGCATGGTAGCAAGCAACGACGTAGAGACCACATTAAAAAGGGACCGTTTAAAATTGCCCCCTACTTCAGAAGACGACTCTCCCATTGTGTGTTCGTTCGGGACCTCAAAAAGTTCGGGCTAGATCGATACCACCGCATGCATACCGGGTACTTTCCCTCTCCCAACGTC